TTAGGGAATTGGTTTAGTGGGACCTATGAGAGAGGAGGAGAGGGAGACCTTGATTCAGTACTCCAGTTACTCCAGGGTTCTCTCACTGTCCCCCAAGACATACTACTCATTCTCCCAACAAACATATTATTAGTCTTCTAACATCTTCCCTGCCACCATCTTCCCTCCTCTTTTCTCTTTATCCCAATTCTTCCAATCCTTCAAAGCCCTGGTCATGGCTTACCTCCGCTATGGAGCCTTCCTTGACTACCTCAGTCATCTCTCCACTCCCTTAGTGGCTACAACATTTACAGTTAGTGCTTGTGAGTCAACATTTAGCTGCCCTCCTATATGGGAGTCTCGTGGAATCCCAAAGACCACCTAGCCCAAGCCCCTCATTTTACAGAACAACTGCAGAGGTTAAGTGACTTGGCCCCTCAGTGGGGCGGTGGCAGAAGCTGGTTCTGGTACTGTGATGTCATGCCTACTTACTACCCCCATGGTCTCCCTCGAAGGTAGCAAGGCTCTCTGAGTGCGGAAGGGACACAGTAATGGAGGGGATGAGGTGGGCCCTGTGCTGGGGCGCTGAGGTCACCGATCTTTACCCTCCCTTGATTTTGTTTCTCAATTCTTCATCCTCCTTCCTCCTCCCCACAAAGCTCTGTCTTCTTCCCTTGTGCCCCAGGAGCAGATGGAGCAGCTGCTACTCGGCGAGCAGAGTCTAGAGGCCTTCCTGCCGGCCTTCCAGCGGGGCCGAGCCCTGGCCCATCTGCGTCGGACCCAGGCTGAGAAGCTTCAGGAGCTTCTGCTGAAGCAGGAGCGGCCTCAGCCCCCCAGCCCACCCCCTCCGCCCTCGCCCCCTCCTGCCGCAGCACCCGCCAAACTTTTCCAGCTGCGTTATGCCTTGGCCCCTGCCACAGCAGCTCTGCTGCCCTCAGGGGTTGCCAGGGGCCTGCCTGCAGCACCCCGAAACCTCCCACCTCTGGACTCCCGCCCTGTCCTCCCCCCAGTCCAGGGCTCCCCCCTGCGCCTGCTCGGCCAGGCCTCCTTGCTGAGCCCCCGGCCCCCGCAGTCAGAACCCCCTCATCGGTAGGGCTTAGAACGCGGCCCCCCTCCAGGAGGGCCCCCAGACAGACTTGATACCAGGCTCCTACCACCACCATCCTTGAGGAGTGAGGTGTTGGAGGGGCGGGCTCCCCTTCCCCCAGGACTCCAGCAAGGTCCCTGCCCCTGGAGGCAGAGCCCAGGAAAAGGGGCTCCAGGAAGATGAGACAGTGGGTAGGGCTGGGGGGGGCAGGGGACTTTGCCCCCCAGCTTTGAGGGAACTGCGATTTCTCTCTCCCTGGCTGGGGTGGGGGGAGGGTTTCAGGGCTGGCCAGAGCTTGCTTTTTCCCATGCCCCAAGAAGGGAGCATTCCCACATCTAGGCTTGCAGGGTGGGGGTAGGGGCATTTTCCATGATCCACCAGTAACCTGGGAAGGGGCCTGTCACTGGGCATGATGCCAGGGCGGCTGGAGATATGCTCAGATTTCTCCCTGGCCTCTTCCTGTCCTCCATCCCCTGGTTCCATTGGTGTAGCTGCCAGGAGGGCCTTCCCCCAGGATGGCCAGGTAGCCCTTGGGACCACATACTGTCCCCCTCCCCCCATAAACACATACATACACTCCAGGCCCTGGGCACCCCAGGCATGAAGGGGTGAGGGCATCGTGGCATTGGGGGGAGGGGGCGCTTCTGTCCAGCAACCAGAGCAGGGCAAACCAGAATGCCCGGCAATGAGAACGCTCTGTCCTTTTCTGTCTTGTCTCTTAGAATGGGACCCCCAAGAGGGCAGGGTCCTTGTCTTTGTGTGTTCTGTCTAGTGCCCTGCCCGCCAGGCCCCTCAATAAATGTGATGGTGAAGATGATGATGAGGCCAGCCTACTGAACACTGCATGCTCGGTTCATTCCCACCTTCTCTGCTTGCACTGTCCTTTTTCTTCCTCTGTGCCTCACCAACTCTTACCTGCCCACCCTCCAGAGTCCTACCTCTGCCATGAAGCCCACCAGGCAATAAAGTCTTTTTTTTGTGTGCACTGCTCGCCCACTTGGAAACAGAATGGAGAGGGTGTGCATGCCAGCCTGGTTTTGGCCAAAATTTGCCAGCTGGGTTCGGGAATGAATCCCTCACTTCCTTTGGCACCAGCCCTGGGGCTCCTTGGACTTCATCACCTTATTCCCTTGGGGCTGGTTTCCCTGGATCTGTTCTAGGCTGACCAGATCTCTACCCATATTGACAATCTGCTGCTGAGAATGTGGAGGTTGGCCCCTGGATTGGACCTTTGCTCTGGTCTTCTGTCTTTGGCCATGTGGGGAGACAGACCATAGAATTCAGAGCATTAGAGCCAGAAGAGACCATTTAGACCAACCTCCTTATTTTACAGATGAGGAAACTGAGGCTGACAGATGAAGTGGCTTTCCAGGGTCACACAGGTGGGAAGTGGCGGAGCTCAGGCCCTCTGACTCCCCAGTCCAGGACTCTTTTCACTGCATTCCCACTGCCTCTCATTGGTGTGTAAGTCTGACTCTTCCCAGCATCAGCATCAAAGCCGGAGGCAGGCCTGGAGGAGGCCACTGAAGGAGCGGAGTGCTTGGACCAGGCCTCTGGCTAGTGCGGTGTTACAACCGAAAGGAATCGGGGGTCACCTGATTTAGTGGTTTTTAACCTGGGTCTATGAGCTTGGGCTCTTTTTTTGGGACCATTTATGGGCAGGCCCAGCTCTCATCAGCACTACAGCCCCGCCCTGGGCCTTCCTTAGGCCATCCAAGGTCTAGGGGCCAAACTTAGAGCAGACACCAAAGTGACCCAGCTCACTGCAGCTCAGAACCTCTGAGCTCAACCCGCTAACTGCCAGTCTTTGCCTCCCGAGTAGCAGGGATCATGGGTGTGCCTCATCACACCCGGTTGTGAATGTTAAAAACATTTTTTGATAACTTTATTTTGAGTCATTGGTTTCCTTTATGATCCTATGGATTTCATGCCTTTAAAGTCATTCTGAGAAGGGGTCTGCAGGCTTCACCAGACTGCCAAGGGGGCCTATGACACATAAGGAGGTCTAGTCCAATCTCTTATTTTACAAAAGACGTGAGAATGAGAGAAGTGAATTACTTAAGGTCATCAGACACAAAAGAGGCAGAGTTGTGATTTGAACTGCAGGTCTTCTGACTCTTAAGTGCAGTGGTCTTCCCACTATTGGGGTTAAGAGGCATGGGCAGGTTATTCCCTTTGAGGTCATGCATCCTACGGGAGCTGGGGCATCGGCCTGGAGGCAGGTAATTGAGATGGAGGGTTCTGAGTCAGCCTCCTTTCCCCGAGGACCTCAGAGGACCATCTGGTGGGCTGGAAGCAGGTTGGGGGAGGAGGCCGTGATGTTCTCACCATGGGGACGGGCCCTTGGGAGGGGCCGATGGGCCTGCTAGGGAGAAGTGTTGCCATGGCAACTGGAGGGCCCTTGAAAAGCTTCATCATAGAAGGGATTGTGTGTGAGTGTGTGTGGGGGGGAGTGACACTCTGTAGGTCCCTCAGTGACCCTCTTGTACTAAAGGGGCTGGGGTTTGCAGTTTCCTCTGGTACTGGTAGGAGCGGCGAGGCTCACCATGCCAATGAGCTCCCACTGGGTAAGGAGGGAGAGAACCTTAGAGTTGGCTGGTTAATAAGAAACTTCATTAACTGAAGGCCAGGATGTGACCCTGACTAGGCAGTAGAAGGGGGAGGGGAAGCAGGTGACTGGCAGGCAGGAGGCAAGCTGGGCTAGGAATACCGCTGTAAATCTGGGAATGAGAGGGTTGAGGATGTGATATCCAGCGCTCTCACACACTCACACACACGCACACACGCACTCACGCACACAGGTACCTATGCACAATGAGGGATAATAAGGAAGCGCTTGGTTGTTGCAGACCAGACCCCTTCCACTTGAGCAAACCATTTCAGAATCGAGCTTGCTAACACTCGGAGGATTTGAAAAGTGGCCCACCCTGGCTAATTCAGATTTTTCATAAATAAATCATGTCTCGGCACAGTAATCAAACTGCTTTGGCTCCTTGCTCAGCCCTGGCTGGAGAAGAGATCTGTCCCTGTTCCATGAGACTCCCAGGACCACTTACATGTCTTTTCTTGCTTTAAGAAAATCTGAAAACTCTTTCCAGACCCAAAGGTATCAGTTAACTCTGATTCTTCGCTTTAACATGAGATCTAACTAATGAATTCCTTTAATGGCCACTCTCCTCCCCAGTGCTGTTCTTTCAAAACGATACGGACATCAACCTTTCTGGAGTCTTTTTCTTGCACAAAATGAGGCATGCTTATAGCATTGAAACAGACCACAGATCGAGGTTCCTCACTTCCTCAAGAGGCTAATTTTTAACTATGCCATAGCCTTGAAATGGGAACCCTGAGCAGAGACTGGAAGGAGGTGTGGTTCCCCTCCCAGTTTGTGATGGAGAAGATAACATGGCAGCTTCAACTACGTGACCTGGAGAGACTGTACTTGTCGACTTCTGGGCTGAGGTCCTGTCACAGACGCCTTAGACAGCACTGTCCTCACGTGGTCTGGGATGCCAGGCATGAGTACGCTCTTGCATAGAGGCAGGGCAAGAGAGAAGCAGCATGTGACTGAGTCAAGATGATGATGGACGTGCCATGCTAAGCCTAGACGCGGCTGCTTGGTCTGGGTGGGCCAGACAGGAAGCTCCTGTAGTTTCCACTTTCTTGGACCCCAGAGGAATTGTGGAGCTCCTGAACGTTCCCGTTGTCCTAGATGTGAAGGAATTCCTTAGGCCAAGGCCTTGGAAAAACCTCTCTTGCGGTTAGGGGTGAGGCAGCTGAAGCTGCCTGATTTTTTTTTTTCAGGTTTACCCTACGCAGTGGTACCCATCTAAATAGGGTGAGGAGGATGGGGCTGGGGAGGTGAGAATGAATTTGGTTAAAAAAAATGAGTTGGGTAGCCTTTCGACGCCCAAAATTAATCAATTCAGCTGTACTCTTTCAATCAATCAATAAGTATTTATTAAGTGCCTCAGTGCCAGGAACTGGGTCACACACTATGGACATAAACACAGAAATGAGAGTTGAGAAATACACAGCCTGAGAGACAGGGAGGGGGACAGAACCCTTGAACCCACATGTCCTAGGGCTTTAAACTCCACCAATCATTCCCTCTCCCTTCGATCTCTCCATATTAGTGTATCACTCCTTCCAATAACAACAGGTCACATTTATATAACACATTATGGTGTAGAATTTTTTTTTCATCATCCCCTTGAGAAGTAGCATTGGCAATATTATCCCCCATTGGACAGGATCAAAAGAAGGCCCAGCAGGCTGGCTGAGCTGCTCAAGGGCACACAGCACTGTAGCTGGGGCTCAAAGCCAGGGCTTGTGACGCTTGGTCTCGAGTTGTCACAGCTGAAGAACTCGGCATCTTTTAGCTGGCATGAATAACCTCTCTGAACTTGGCTGGGCTGGTCCTGGGACAGTGTACAAGCCGACACTTGAAGCCTTCTGTCTTGGGAGGCAGAAGTCGCCGCCAGAGTTGTTTATGGTCTGTGGGCATCTCCTCCACGCCAGGCTGAGCCACTGGAGGACAGCATTAGTGGAGAAGTGTCTGGAACATAAACATTTAATTGAATTAGAATGTATTACTGGTCAGTGACATGAAGTGAGAGCAAGCAGCTGGAATCTCATCTGCAGCAGGAAGGAAGGGGGTGCCTGGTTAGGGTGACGAGCCATCAATCTATACCTCCTTGGAAAGAACGTGAGGAATGAGCTTGGACTGGCTGATGTTGAAGGCACAGAGCGAGGATTCAGCCAAAGACCTCCAGTGAATTGGTAGCGGGGCCTCCGAAGGAAACGAGGCATCTCGTGCCTTCATGATTCAGCTAGTTCTGAAGCCCCTGGTTGTGAGTGGGGGGACAAGGAGGAGACGGGCTCCCCGGGGCCACGCGCACCCTCCTTTAGAGCATGGCACCAGGCTCTGTGCGTTGCCCTTTTGGTTACCGCTCCCCAACGTCCCTGGCCCATCCTTTTCTCTCTGCTGTTTTCCTATAACCACTTCACACGGGTCTGGACCCCTGCAGTGGCCTCCTGGATGGTCCCTCTGGACTCAGTCTCTCCCCACCCCCTCCTTTTTAATCTGCCACCCCTAATTACTACCCATCTGTCACTTCTTCACTCAAGAAACATCAGTGGCTCCCCACTGTTCTTAGTATAAAATAGACACTCCTCTGTTTGGCATTGAAAGCCCTTTACCACCAGGCTTGGGCAGATCTTGCCAGGCTGGTTATGTATTCCTGCCCCTCACACACTCCACCTCCAGCCAAACGAATTGACTTGCTGGTCTCAAAACATTCTGCCTCCCACCTTGGTGCTTTTGCCCAAGCGATGCCTCATCCCTAGTGTGCTCTCCCTCCCAAGTCCCTTCACTGATCTGTTCAAACACCACGTCTCTCAAGAGGCCTTTCCCGGTCCCCCTAGTTGTCTCACACCTCCCTAGAGCTGTATTTCTTTTGCAGATAGCCCATATTTACTTTCTTACACACATATTAGATCTGCAGAAGTTCTGAGGTCAGAGAGTGTCTACCACTTTTGTCTTTGAATCTCCAGTAGCTGGGCTGGGGTAAACTGGCTGGATTTGCTGTTGAATGCAATCTCAATTACGATGCAGCAACACAAAGATCACCACCTGGGGTCCGAGGGATCTCCTCTCTAGATCCCTCTTCCCAAATCCAGCTTCAAGGGCTGGGGTGGCATAAAGACACTGTGAGGGAATCCAGTTGTAGCTTCCGGCCTTCTTCCCAAGCCACTGCTTCCCTCCTGTTGGGGTACAAGAATTTGAGTGGCTGAAGCGGGCAGAGGCATCCAGCTCAACTTCTAGGGAAGGTTCAGTTTCCCTGGGCTGCTTATAGGGTTCCTACGGACAGGAAGCATCACCTAGAAACAACCCATCGATGGTGACTTTGGGAGCTGAGACGAGTCCTGGGCAATAGTGCTTTAACTAAGGCCTTTGGGGTTCACAGAGAGAACAGAAAGGCAGGGTGAGGTAGCAGAGGAGCCCACTTGGCTCCCCGGAGCACTGTGCTCCCGTTCTTAGGGGTTACTTAGGTTCCAGCACTTATCTGACATCCCAGCAGTCCCAATGTGTGTTGGACACTGGGAAATCTTTGGGTCACAAGATCTGGCTCTGAGCTCTGACTCTGACCCTCCCTGCTTGGGGGACCTTCCTTAGCCAACTCTTCACCTTCTGACCCTGTTTCTCCAGCTGTGAAATAGAGCAGCTGCTGCTTGTACTGCTCACTAAGACGGGTTGTTGTGAAGAAAGTGCTTTATAAACCCCAAGGAGTTCTACGAGTGTCAGCTACTGCTCTTACAACTGACGCTGAGCATTTGACAGGAGCCTCTTATCGGAGAGATTTCAGGCTCGGAATCTAGCGTGAGTGAGAGCCGAGGTGATGGGCAGCAGGGGGAAGGGGCAAGGAAGTTCCTCTCCTTAGGCCCTGGGGTCTTGCTTCTCTAGGATGAAATTACATTCCTGTCACCCCAGCACCAGGGGACGGGGAAAACACACAAGGTCAAGATGGATCTGATTTTTCAAGTGTAAAGAGATTAGAGGGAAGACAGTAACCCTATTTTGGAGAAATGTTTAAAGCAGCAAGACAATTCAGTCCTTCTGGGCTTAGAAATGCCTCCCAGGGGTCCCACCTTATTCCTATCAGCTGAGTGACCCTGGCTGCCGAATCTGACCTCACTGCTGGCTTCCCAGGCCAAGTTTTAACCTTTGCTGTTCCAAATCTCAAGCTGTTTTAAGCGACTGCCATGCCATCATTGATCCCTATAGCTCCACAGGACTGAAACGGACAATGCTTATTGCCTGGCCGGGGCACACAACACAGGGAGGACTTATCTAAAGACACCCAGGAAATCGGATGCCAAAAGCTCAGAAGAAAAAGAGGCAACTTGCTCCGAGATGACTGGGATATTTAAAGGGTCAGAGCAGTCTGATACAAGAGAAAGAGCCCAAGGAAGCAGGTTTGTTCAGGGAATTTAAACAGGAAGCTCTCACCAGGCCCAAAAGGAAAAGACAATTTAGTCATGGACAGTGTTAATCTCCTGGCCCAGGGAAACGCTCTTTCAGATAAAGCCCTGCTGATTCTGTACAGACTACATCTCTTCATACAATGACAGATGCTCAAAGCTCATTTAACTGTATTTGAGCCATGTCCCTCACTCCAAACCAGGCCTGGAATGGGCTGGCTTAATCAAACTCAGCAAAAACGTTCCCTCAGCTGCTTCTATCAGGGGACAGCAAATAGTTCCCTCCAAATACTCTTTCCTCCCTAGGCTTCTGAGACACCACACTCTGACCCTTCCATAGCTCCTTCCCCGGCTCCCCATCCATCTTCCGACCTCTTATGGAGGCAGCTCCCCAAGGAAGGGTCTGACGTGGGCCACGTCTTCGTGATTTCACTCACTCCAGGGCTTCAATCATCACTTCTAAACAGAAGACACCCAAATCTTTCTCTAGCCTTGACCTTTCTCCCAAGTCCCAAACCCATCAGTTCAGTTCCCTCCATCCCCAGCTGAATGCCCCACTAGCATCTCAAACTCAACAGTTAAGTCTAAAACAGCCACCTACTCATCTGTCCCCTTAAACGTGCTCCTCGTGACGCCACAATCTGTCAGAGGCATCAACCACCATTCAGCCCTCCATGTTTAAAACTGTGTCTTATCTCTAAGTTCCTTCTCATTTTACTCTCATGTCCAGTGAGTGACCAAACTGTCCCCACCACCACTACTGAACAGACTCTCATCACCTGCTTGGACCAATGCAGTACCTTCCCTACATTTTCTGTGTTCTAGTTAAACTCAAACACCAAATCTCACAACGCTGGGGGCACCTTTGCGTGGAACTGTTAAAATTTTATCAGCCATTTATCAAAGAGGTGTTTTTTGTGCCTAACACATAGCATATCTTATGCCTGTCCCAACAATACTGACTTTACTCCCAAATCCCTCCACCTTTTAGTGGGACATGGGTTTTCCTGCCATTTCTCCAGCTGTGGGGACTGAATGCACAGCATTAATCATCTGTATAGTCAACTATGAATAGGATAGTCTGTGCTCTGGAATACTTTTTATTGTGGTAAACTGACCAGGAGAAAAAGCAAACCTGGCTGCAATGGCATCATCCACTTCACTAAAAAATGGGCCTAGAATCACACAGATCTTAGAAGCAGAAAGGACCTTGGAAGATCATCTGATTTGGCCTTCTGCTTTCAAACAGGCATTGTACAGAAGAGATCTATGTTCAAGTAACTTGTGCAAGGCCAAACAGGGATGGGAAGCAGGGACTGGAGACACCACTGAAGGGGCCACTATCTTTCACAGGGACCTTAGAGGTCCCTGGCTGCAGCCCCCTCGTTCTCCAGAGGTTTAAGGGACCTGCCCAGGGTCCCAAAGCTAAGGAACTGTCTGAGGCTGGATCTGAATTTCTTGCTGCCAAGTCCAAGCTTTACCCAACACTTGATCATCTTCCCATCAGCTGCCTTCTCAGTAAAACCTGCTCAGTGTTCCTGCATGACTGGTAACAAAGACAGAAACCCGTGTGGATTCATTCAGATGTGGTTCATTTGGCTTTTCACTCGGGGTGACAGGAAGGCCCTCAGCATCAGGCCAAGGCAGGCATTCGGCACGATCCTACAGCGCCCAGCTCTTAATGGCCCCCAGCGCCCGGGGACGCCTTCCTCCGTCGTTGGGGCACCCCCACCTCCCCGCCATCCACCAGGGCGCCGGGGGAGGGTCGGGTCCTTCGGCGTCCCGCGAGCCCCGGAGGTCACGGCCAAGGCCGGGCTACTTGACGTGCGAGAAGGCCAGGAAGCCCAGGAAGAGCAGCAGGGCCAGGAGCAGGCTGTCGTCCCAGCGCGGCCCGGCGCGGGCGCGCTCCTCGCGGTCCCTGCGCATGGCCTCGCGCCGGGCCCGCAGCCGCTGCTCCCGCTCCAGCTGTTCACCGTAGTGCGCGCGGTAGAAGGCGTCGAAGTCGAACATGTGCCGGCCGCCCGGCGCGGGGCGCGCACGCTGGGGGCCCGAGGCAGCGTGCGCGTGCGCGGGCCTCGGAGGCGGAGGGGACGGGGGCGCGCGCGCCGCCCCCGGCGCGTGCTCGGCGCCCAGCAGGCCGCGGTCGTATTGACGGCGCAGGGCGGTGCTGCTCAGCACCACGTAGGCCTGGCCGATGCGCGTGAAGCGCTCCGCCGCCTCCGCGCTGCCCGAATTGCGGTCCGGGTGGTAGAGGAAACTCTGCCGGTAGTAGGCTGCCTTAATCTGCGCCTGCGTGGCCGTGACCGGGACGTCCAGCAAGTCGTACAGCGCAGTACGCGAGTATCGAGAGGAGCCGCCGCTTGCCTGATCCTTCCCAGTCCAGGAGCCGCCGCCGCCGGCGGTGGAGCTGGCCCAGGCTTCCGTCCGTCCGGCAGACCGCAGCAGCGAAGACCACCGCCGGCCGGCCAGGGCCACCATCTTGCGCGGGGCGGGGCTGGAGACGGAAGGGCCGGCCAATGAGACGGGGCGGGGTACCTGACGAGCCCTCCTCGGGGCCAATCGCGGCGAGGAGGAAGACAGGACAGAGGAAAGGGCGGAGCGAGGGCGGGCTTCCTGTGTGCTTGCGCACGCGCGGTTCGATGACGTCAGCAAAGCGCCGAGGAGGCGGTTGGGCGCGAGCGGCAGCGCCTGGAAGATGACGCGGACGCCACGCTGAGGAGACTTCCGGAGTGCAGCCATGGCGTGCGGCGGCAGAAGGCCGGAGCACCGCGGGCCCCCGGAGCTGGTGAGCACCCTCCGCCCCCGCGAGCCCCGGCCCCGCCGCCCCTGCCCCCTCTCACCGCCACCTTCTCTCTCTCTCTCCCACAGTTTTACAACGAGGACGAGGCCCGGAAGTACACTCACAAGTAAGAGCCGGGTCTGGGGGAAGGTTGGGGAGCCAGAGGAGTGGAGGGGGGCGGCGACCACTCTCTGGGGCGAGCGCGGGGCCTGGCGTCAGGAAGAGCAGCGTTCAGATGTGCGGCCAGCCACTATACCGCGGCCTGCCTCGGTTTCCTTAACTGTAAAACGGGCATAACCACGACCCCGACCTCCCAGGGTTCTTGTGAGGATCGGAGGAGATAACGCCCGTGAAGTGCCGTGCGGATGTCCTGTTACCGTCACCGTTAATGGTAACTGACGTCTCAGGAGAAGGGGTCCGTGGGCATCAGCGGATGCCGAGGGTCTGGGGCACGAGGATGGACAAGAGCTGCCCCGAAGCCCCTTGGGTGACTTTGGGGGGGGATGGGTTGTGACTGACTGAGCTTCTCAGGGCCTCTGGGCACAGTGGGGACAACCCAGTTTAACGTTTGTCCGGATAATGAATGGACGCGTGTTGGAGACAGTAGCCTGGGGTCGTTCTTGGGTCCTAGGGCGTCATAGCTCGTGGCTCCCCATTGGGGACCTCACCCGTCCAGTGACGTGCACAAGGCTATCTGCCCCTTTGAGATTTGGTCCAGGAGTCAGGGGTGGGAGACACCGATGAAAAGAGAACGCTACCCTTTCTTCGTCCCCAGTGTTTGCTTTCGTTTGCTAGTTTGACATCCTCCTCTTACAGAGAAGGATGCACACCTTTTGGAAGGAAAGCAAGTGCCTGAGTGCTGAGATTGAGAGAGAGCTATAGTAGGGTGGTATTTGAAAGCAGGTTTTGTGATTCCAGGTGCAGTGTTGTTTTCTAACTGCTAGGTGCCAAATAAAAAGCATGGACCAGGAGTGAATGGAGAGACTGAGATGGGAAGAGTTGCTCACCAGGGATGATGATTTTGCAGGGGAATTGGGACTTACAAGTCCTTGCCCTTGGGTGGTAAACATAGGACAAGAATAGAAGAGGAAGGGGCCTAGAAGAAGGCACAGAAAAACAAGGTACAAAGAGAGTCCCAAAGGTGCTGTTCATGCCATGGATTCCATGTTGGTCGTCCAAGACTGCTCTGGTGTGGGGCTGCCTATGTGATAGAGAGTAGAATTATCTGTCAGTGCACGGGTGATAACTATAAAGTGTAGTTTCTCATCTGAACTTAGTTTGTTACCCCAGATGAAAAGGTCAGTTAAGAGAGAATCATCTTGATCTGGCTGTATTTTATCCTTTTCTTTTTCTTGACTTTTGCCTGGAGACTGTGCAAAAACAGTCATTAGCTAGGAGAGGTGTTCACTTATGCCCTGCCCCCCATTTCTTTGCTTCCAGCTCACGGATGATTGAAATCCAGACACAGATGTCAGAACGGGCCGTGGAGCTCCTCAGTCTACCTGAGGACCAGCCCTGCTTCCTGTTGGATGTTGGGTAAGATGTCGGAGTTTTTTTTTTTTTTTTGAATGTCAAGTTGTGCCATTGTCATTGGCATTCACTTCCTGACCCTTTGTCTGCTTTTGCCTTATAGTTGTGGTTCTGGGCTCAGTGGTGACTTCATCTCGGAGCAGGGGCACTACTGGGTGGGCATTGACATTAGCTCTGCCATGCTGGGTGAGTGAGGCCTTTCAGGTGTTTCATGTACTAGTTTAGTATAAGCAACTGGATGTGCTAGCCTATCTTCTCTAATATGCTCATCTTTGAATAAATAGATGTGGCTGTGGATCGAGAAGTGGAAGGAGACCTGCTTCAGGGGGACATGGGTCAGGGCATCCCCTTCAGGCCAGGATCATTTGATGGTTGTATTAGGTAAGATGCGTCACTGACATATGCTGGGGGGAGGGGCCATGTGTACTAGCATTGTTGCAGTTAAGCTGTTAATGTGAGTGCTCATTGTGACAGGCTTAGCACCTTGGACAGAGCTCTGGGCCTAGAGGCCGGAAGACCCAGGCTCTTGTCTCAGATACTCAGTAGCTTCCTGACCTCAGGTTGGAGACACCTTGACCCTCAAGTGACTCAGAGATCCCACACCTACCTGTATTCTAGTGTAATATGTACAGTGTTAGTGGGGCTGTGTTAGCAGAACTTCCAGAGGGCAATTCCTTTTAGAACTTTTCTTCTAAAAAGGACAGATGAATAAATGCCATGTGTCCCGTTTAATATTTGGGTGGTGTGATTTTTGGGAGGTGGGTGTAGATGTGGAGAGTGGCAATAATCATTACAGGTTGAGGAGCGTGAGCTGAATGGGTAACCTCAGTCTTCCCTCCTGGGTTGGAGAAATTTGAGGGGGCTGTTCAGAAGTGGGTCATGGCTAGGGTGTTGAATCACTCCTCCCCATTAGGGAGGACTTCTTGGAGAGAGAAAGATTAGAAGAGAGTGCTGAGAAGAAAGGCCGTTGGAAAGACATTTCAAGGAGGAAGGAGTGCTTATTTAAAAGGTCAAGTGCACCCTTGTCTAATCATGAATTTTTGACTTTACTTAAAAAGCAATTCAGGCTAAAGCAGGCCAGTATAGGGTCTCAAAGGAAAAGCAGCTTGAGCAACTTTGAATCAGTTCACTGCAGAAGTGAGGAGAAAGGTTGGCTAGAGTAGAGGCTGAGGAAATGTATCTTGGTGTGCCTGCAGGAAGTTACCAATGACCTTGGTGGACATTCTTGGGTTAAATAGTAGAAGTAGAATGAGTCCAAACTGAAAGGAAGCAGAAGCTCTGAGATGGTCTTGGAACATGGGGAGGCTTTGGAGTTGGGGGTTGGGCAGGCACGCCAGGCTTGGCTGAGCTCCTGAAGAGGTCTTTGGGCTCTTTCTTCAGCATTTCTGCTGTGCAGTGGCTCTGCAATGCTGACCAGAAGACACACAACCCTGCCAAGCGCCTGCACCGGTTTTTCTCGTCCCTTTATTCTGCTCTGGTGAGTATGAGATCTCTATGGCTTTTTGTAGTGGCCGTTGGGCCCTCCAGTGTATCAGGTAGCTGTCTTTGTTGCTTCCTATGGTAGCTGGGGCCTGGCAAGAGACCCACAATGTCCATTCTTCTCCAGGCCCGAGGAGCTCGAGCGGTCCTGCAGCTGTATCCCGAGAATGCTGAGCAGGTGAGTCTGCCTGGATGGGGATGAGTCAGGGTCCAAACCAATGGCATTTAAGGGTTGGAAGAAGGACCTCAGAGGCCATCTCTTCCAACCTGTACCTGAAAAGGAATACCCTGTATATCATATCTTTATTTGGGGTAATCCTATGTATTTTGTTCACTTTAAAAGACCCCATTATTCTAAGAAGGGGTCCATAGGCTTCATTGGGTCCTCAACACAAAAAAGGTTAAGAACCTTTTCTCTAAGGGTTAGGAAATTTTCCCTTTACATTCCCTTTACCACTCTCCTGGGCAGCTGTGGCTCTCTTCCCTTCTCTGTATCTGATGGGAAGACATCAGACCCTTCTCCAGAATCCAGACTGGGGCTTGAGACGATTAAGAACATCAATTGTAATTCTACGAGAACATCCTTCCCTAGAGGGGAAGTGGACCCCAAAGGTCTTTCAGAGGAGGGGGTGACTTCAGGTGAATTCAGGTCTGTTTCATCATGATGGGCTGTGGACTTTACTTCGTCTTGTAGGATGGGGAGGTTTGATTTTGCTGTAAGGTGCCGTGTCCAAGCCACAGGCCTCAAACACTCTGCAGCTCTTCTGGAGCTCAGACGAAGCTCTTGGAGTAGTTGAGGTTGTTTTTTGGTCTAGACTTAGGACTTCCCTGGCTAGGGACTTCTGCTGAGGAAATGCCTCCCAGTGCAGGTTGGTAACAGTTCTCATAACCCCTGATAGGCTTAATGAATTGTCCAGTCATTTTCAGGTTATGGAACTTGTCTGTGATCACATAGTTTCAGAATTAAGCAAACAAACATTTATTAAGTGTTTTCTATGCACCAGACACTGTACTTGGTGCAGAGGAGAAAGGCAAAGAATGAAACTGCCCCTCTTTCTAAAACTGTCATTCTTATTCTATGACTCCTTCAGGGCTCTGAGCTTGGAGTGCAGCTTGGGAAGGGGGTGTTTGCTTTCTTCTTTGTTCCCATTACTCAGATTTGGAGCAGGCCAGAGGCATCTCTGATGACCCACTGGCTTTAAGAGAGACTGAGAGGGGGCCATTTGTACCCACCCCCCTTCTTAAGCCTAACCCCAGTGTTTCTTTCTCTGGCCTCAGTTGGAGCTGATCACCACCCAGGCCATGAAGGCTGGTTTCACCGGAGGTATGGTGGTGGACTTCCCCAACAGTGCTAAAGCTAAGAAGTGAGTCTGGTGTAGTCATCCTGATTCTGGTGTGAGAAACGTCAGACAGAAGGGCACACAATACCGGTAGCGTTTGGCACAGTTGGACAGTGCCAAGGTGGGAGGGGGAGGGGGAAGAGAGGTACCTGGTGTTGGGGTCAGACTATGGCAGGGGCCCTCAGTTTTGTTCCTAATTGCAAGTAAAGCTCTCAACTTAAGGGAAGATGATGGCACGTTCTTTTTCTTTCAGGTTCTTCCTCTGTCTGTTTGCTGGCACTTCAGGTGTGTTGCCCAAGGTAAGGATGTATCCTGGTTGAGAGTGCATGGAGGATTGGCCCATTTACTCCCTAATGGAAGGGGACAGGATTGCAGCTTGTAAGTCAGGGGAGGACATTTGCTCAGTGCCCACGATGTCTATCACAGGCTGATAAACATCCTTTAAAGTTTGGGTCTCTTTGAGGGGTGGCCTTGTACTTGTATCAGACTCGTCTCTAGTTACCCCCAAAGGATCATAACCTCGGTTGGTTTTGCCCTGTGGTTGAAGTTGTGTGTGTGCGTGCATGTGTGTTGTTGAGCCAGTCCTAGAATCAGGTGGCGGGTGGCCGTGT